AGCTAAATTATCAGAATATAAAAAATAAAATAGTACCTAATCAAGAAGATAATGTAAATTTAATTGAACTAGTGGCTTGTAGGGACATAAGTCCCTAAAATGCCCAATAATATAAAACAAACTATTCTAATATTTAAACAAACAAAGAAATATATTATCTATGTGTCAGAATAGATATCAATGTATATATGCCATATCTGTTGTGTAAAAAACAGTTTGTTGTTTGTCTTTGTTGATGTTATTTTCAATAAATCATTCGAATCACTACATAGATTTAACTCTGCTAAAGCAAGGCCACACTATAAAGGCAGCAAACATATAATTGGTTGTGAATAAATACTGGTTTATTAAGGTAGCTCGTTAATTATTTATTCAATGTGGTTATTTCTTGTTAAACACAAGTTTGAAAAGTTTCACAGTAAAATAATATATTTCCATATTCTATATAACGTACGGTAACTAAAAAGTCTTAATTATTATAGGTAACGTTATCCCTGGTTTTATATAGTACATTGCTGAACTTACTGGCAAATAAGTATAATCCAAATGTTAACATTGCGTACTGGCTTGATGATAAATCATGATCAGCTGTATGAAGTAAACAAAAATTAGCAGAAAATGGCTTCTAATGCTATTCTTATGGAGAACACTTTACGTTATATCTCGTTTTCTGGTAACTTTATGGAAATTCTGCTATTTTTCCCGAGTCCCTGGGGTCAAGACCTTTAATTTAAGACCCCTCCCACTTTTCTGCGACTTACCAGACGTCCAAAATTTTCTGGCAAAGATTTTGTCTTACAGAATTATATATAAGGATGATAAAACTATTTTTCTAAACTAAAAGGATATGGCGAGAATTTGTTATTGAATAAAAGGCTCTGGTCAAATCGCTCCCGACAAAGCATTTAAATAAGCATTTAAATCGGTCCCGGGTCCGGGTCTTACCATGAGTACTACGGTAATAGCTTATAGTGGTAGTTTGGAGATAAAAACCAACTTCATCCAGTTAAATAGTGTGTGTATGAGCATTATCTAAATCTGAAACCATGAAGAATTCATTCCGTTAAGCATGTGCCTGTGCGCGGGCCTTGGCCTCCAGCGGCCACTATGGACACCTCCGTTTAAATGCAAGTGCCATTCCTGGCGCCGAAAATCTGAATTGGCAAGCACTCTGGACGTACCACCTTTATTTTTAGTTTAAAATACATTGATATTTTTCCCCCCAACATGTGGTTTGGATTAACTGGAGATTCCGATTAGAGGGCCTCTGGTGTGAATAGAATCAGGGCCGGATTTCCCAATAGGCCCGGGCCTATGGGCGCAAGCTCACAGAGGGCGCACGGCCGAGAGGAAAAATATTTTTTAATATCTAAAAATAAAATAAATAGCCATAGCTTAACATATTTTGCGAGTTGATAAAAAAGAACTCTTGCCAATAAAGCATTATAATTATATAACTGTTACAACATTACGCATCAATTTCGTTACAATTGGTAACGAACATTGGTTATACAGGAGTAGGCTGTAGGGATGTTGTCAAGCGCCCGAGCGGTACGGGTCGTATTGCCACTGTTATCTTTGCACTGCCACTATGCTGACTCGGCGCTACTGATCGGAGTGATTAGGGGCGCATGCGTACTAGACACCATTACCGTTTACCACCCTCACCTCACAGAAAAAAATCATTAACTAATCTTTTGATCAGTTTACCTGCAGGGTTAAGTTAAAATATATAATACGTTTTGTTGAATACCTATTAAAAATACGATAAGTTTATCTTTAAAATTCAATAACAAAAAAATATTTATCTGAGTTTGTAACAGGTTTTAGAAAAATTAAATCCCCTCCAAAGAAACCATTAATGGTGTCATTTTCTCCTCAGCTTAGACCTGAAGGCGGGACTATTGCTTTGTTTTGCTTTGCAAATGAGTGAAAATTTAAAAACGTACGTTTTCATGTCCCTGGCCTTTTACTTCGTAGATACTGGATTTGTAGTTTATTATTATGTGTTTTAATATTTTTTGGGATGGGGGCAACATGTTACACACATTTATTTGGTTTTAAATAGGTTCTAGGTTTTTTTTCGTATTTTTAAAGTCTCGAAATTCACGACCATGACGTGTCCCTAGGGTACATTTTCCAACTTTCACGCTGTTTTTAGACTAATTATTCATGCCGAAATATATAAAGACATATTTTTATAACATCAATGGTTATTAAACTTACAAAAAAGGAGCATATTATAATTTTATTGTCATTACAAACTGACTACCATGACAAAATAAGTCTGTCCCTCGATTTGGCGTCACGACCATTTGGGGAAAATTTTCAACTTTGGAGCACGACAGTGGCAAGCCTGGTGTCGATGGAGTCAGTTGGTTTTAGAGACTAGTTCGGGGTGTACGTCAGGATTGTAGTGCCGGTCGTTTCGAGTTGAAAGGAGGAATTACAAGATTGATAAAGGAAAGATTGTGTTTTTTGTAATTTTGGTGTGTCCATGACCGTACGTAGTCATTCGATGAAGTAGACATGGTGTTAATTTTTGTTTATAAGATATTTCAATTGCTAGATTAACCTAGAAGTCCACTTTGTATCCTCGAACATGAGGTGCAGGGCTACCACCAGAACAGAGCCAAATAACACGTAATTTCACGACCAAAGTTTCACGACCATCACGGGTTTTTTCACGACCAATCCAGCCTTATGGATTATAGTGTGTTTGGTCGTGACAATAACTTTAATATAATTGTAAATTGAACAGTTTAGTTCAATTGAAAAACATATTTTTATTATAACTAACAGGATAATTGAAGGATTGTTTAGAAAGATTTAGATTATTCCAAAATTTCAAAAATTAAAATATTGTCATATTTTAATGTTTTATACACAAAAGAAGCACACCTCTATACAAACGTAACGATTTTTCGGGTCTCAGGTAAGTTTATTCGGAGTTATACAAACTTAAAAAGATTTTATTGGCTTTTTTTCAATTTTTTTAGTTTTTTATTTTTTTCTAGAAAGACCAAATATACCAAAAGCTCAGTGACCTTTTTATTGTATAATGGTCATAAAAGTAAATTAGTTTATAGCAAAACATAGTTAGATATTGCGTTACCATGGACATTTTATGAAACTTCAAAGGTTAATGAAATAAAAAACATAATAAAAGTTTTGAAAAAAGGGGAAAAAAATTTGCAAAGTGCTTTTCCTGAAAATGTACGTTTTTAAATTTTCACTGAAATATAACCTGGATGCAGTACTACCATAGATTAACCATAAACTCAAGTCGACTTTTTATCACATTGTTAATTCTAAATATAGTTTTTAATGTGTAGTTCATATATGTTGGTGACACTGGAAGTTACTTTTCACGTAATTTTGTTTCTATTATTTTTTTGATAGTTCTATGTTGTGTGTTTTAATTTCTTGTAATATAACCTGGGAACGACCTATTGTTTATGATTACATCATTTTATTTTTGACAAACAAGCATTAAATAGCTGAAATAATAAGAATTGTTTTCAGCTAATCCCTAAGGATCGCAAATCTACTAAAGGAGTATGTTTAATCTATAGTATCACGTACTGTTATGGAGTTCATGTTTTGGGGCCTGAAATCGGAATCAATGGATATGCTTTTTTGCAGGAATGCTCTGTGGGTTGGATTGTTTTGTTTCAGTCCCACAAGCGTGAGCATTTGCCAAAAGCCTAAAATTGATAAAAGTGTTTAAGACGGCATTTTGTTAAGGCTAACCAAGACAATTCTTCAAAAAACTTGCAATTATAAAATTCCGACAAGGAGTGGTGTTCAAGCAATTAACATAGGCCTAGAGGCATGATATAGTTTTTAATAAAGGTTTGTAGGAAAGAAACTGTTACCAGACTAGGGGGCGGAAAAATTATTTGGGCCTAGGGGCGCGAAAATGCTAAATCCGGCCCTGAATAGAATTGCTGCTGAAATTGAATATTACTTCACTATGTTTCCTTTTTTTGAATAAATTCCAGACTTATTAGCTTAAATCGTTGTTTAAAAACTTTTCATACCAGGATAACAGCAACATCATGACTGTCCCCTGCTATTTCGGCAATGTAATATATAACAATTTCTCATGATCATTGCAACATGATGATCCCCTTTGATTGTGGCGACAGCTTGATTATTTTTACGATTGCAATAAATATGCGAGATTTCTATTCTCAAAAAAATTCTCTAAATGATTTAAATCCCAGCCAAAAAAAAAGAATTGGAACAGAAATGTCCTGAAGAATAGCCTCGTTCTCGCATGGTTCATCAACTTTCCTTGTGACCATGATCAGTGTCTTGTATTATTGATACATGTCATGAGAACAGCTGTGGTGCGTCAAGGCCCGATCCGGTCCCGCTCAAAATCGGTAAACTAATAAAACATTAGGACTGGTTCACCTGGGGTTCTGGTTCTCACCAGTCTTTGAGCCGAGTGCTGAGAGTGTATTTGATAAGTTGTGTTTTTAATGTGTACAAGAATAAAATGGGGTGGAATAATAAAGTTGAGAAGGAGTTTATGGATGTGATGGAGTATATGGAGTTTTTAATATAAATCAAACAGGAAGCTATAATTTGTAATCCACAACACAAAGATCATAAAGACAGGATCAAAGTGTACAATGCGTGGAAACAAATTCAATTGGGTTTCAGCATTGAAACTTCCCTTGTAGTACGTGTATCATAATCTGTGTTGCTTTTGCACTTACATTACTAACAATAAAAACGCCTCAATGGCTCAACTTTTTTCTCCAAACTTGTCAATGGCTTTTGAAATCTACAAGCCAACACACATCGTGAGAACAGTAAGGTTTGTGAATTCTCTGACGACTCAAAATCCGTTGACTGATCAAGGTTAGCGGACTCCACCTGCCTAAAGTTGAGAGAACGAGGGTTTAGATAGGTGGCTAACCCCTCAAGCTTAGAGTTTAGCTTAGAGTGTCTGAAAGAGTTAAATCCAGTTCTATCATTGGACATACCTAGCACTCTGATAAGTTGCCGAGGGTGTTGATCCAATGGCAGCGTTTCCCACTCCCACGGCAAGTCCCTCGGGTATGTTGTGGACTGTGATGGCTACAATGAGCAGCAACAGTCTCTTCCACTGTGTGCGGGGGTCTGTGGTGGGGGCTGTACATGGTGGGGGTGACGCAGGAGCTGTGTACGGGGCCCTGCGTCGGGTCCCAGAGAACGGGTCCTCATAGAAACCTGCAAAAAGGTATTGTATTATTGCTTGCTAGTACACAACATTCTTTGAATGAACAAATAACTGATTTTTACTGTTAAAGTACATTATTCCCTTAACTAAAGTAAGTTATAACTTTCAAATAAGTTATTCGACTTGAGAATAACACTTTTAAAAACCATCGTAATGGGTAAAAATACTATACACTTCTTGTAGCTTAAACAGGTGCATAAAACATAAACTGAATCTAAATCTTTAAGATAAATGATTCAATCCTGTATGGTATTCTTTTACACAATCATAAGACACTGAAATATAAAATATTTTATGATCATAAAAGGTTAGAGCTCACCAAAAGAAAACCACCTTGAGAACATCCTGTCAGTAATTATTGTTTCTTGCCCATGCTAAACCTAAATATGAAAATACTGCTGATATCTATTTCAAATAGGCCTGGTTTTTCTGTTACTAAAACAAGATTTACCCTCCACTGTTGTTGTGTCTATTGGTCTCTCATCATCATTGGGGTATGACTGATAACCATCCATCTTCTTGTTGTATCCATTGGTTCCGTAAGCTGTAACATAGCAAAAATGTGTAAGCCTTATTAATTTTCTTTGCCTCCAGAATTGCTGGATTATAAGTAAACAAGCATGTGTACTATCTGAAAGCAATTTACAGAAGTTAGGAATGTAACAAAGAGGGAATGGAGTAGGGTTCAGGCAGGGAAAATGAAGTTTGTAAGAGGTATTAAATGGAAAACAAGATTGGATGTAAATGAAGAGTTGAGAAGAGGAATAGTTGAAGAAAGTTTGAGAGAACGAGTAGAGAAATCTATATTGAGATGGTTTGGCCACTTAAGAATGGAAAATTATAGAATCCCCAGAAAATAGAGCGAGCTCCACATGAACAGAAGAGGACCAAGAGAAAGACCTACAAGAAGGTGGATTGACGAGGTGTGGAAGCAAGAGGAGTGCAATGGCCGTATGTGGAGAAAGAGGAATTGTAGAGGGACATAAGAAGATGGAGAGACCTAGTGAATACCCAGACCCGGAGAGGATATCTTTGTATGTACTGCTATCAGTCCAAGCAACTCCTTTATCGGTACATTGACAGTGTATACATTTTGCGTTGTATAAACCCATCATCAGGTCTACAGAAACATCCTCTTTGCACATTCGACATTTTTGAATAAACCACACATACATAAAAAATTATATTATAAAATTGAACTTTTTAAAACACGTGTAAACTTTATGTTACTAAGCTGGCTAGCGATAATATTCCTAAAATTTACATGGTTTTTACAAAAGTTTGATTTTAAATTAAAAGTTTTTTTTGTATGTGTGGTCTATTCAAAAATGGTGAATCTGCAAAAAGGATGTTTCATGTTTCTGTAGACCTGAGATGATGGTGGCTTTATGCAACCTGAAATGTATACATTGTCAATGCATCAGAAAAGGAATTGCTCGGGACTGAATAAGGTACGTAACCTTGATTACTCATAAACCTTAAGTTAATAATATAACAATAAGCCTGCACCACCCTCTGAAAATTTTATGTGAATCCCTCATGAATCTACAAAAACTCTAATGTTAAACAAATTAGAATTAACATAATAGCTGCATGAAGATTATTTCTCGCCCAATTTGATTACAGTGTCACAACTCAAAGAGACTGTCAACCTACCTACTTGAAGGAGTTGACAAACTAGCAATAAGAAAGGGTATTTTTGTCTCCCAACTAATTTTTTTTTACTTCTTTACCCTTGTGAGATTAGAAAACATTTTCCACAATTCAAATCAGCTTTAAAGTGGTTAATTTTATTAGTACACATACCAGATGCAGTATATTATGTTATCGCCCATGTTATTAATTGAGGGCTATTCAGAAAGTAAGGAACATTTCCGTCTGGCGTCTAAATGCACAAGCTGGTCGCACACTTTCAAGAACAGGTGTGTTTACCTCTTCAATGAATTTCATGCCGTAACAGCGGAAGTATCATTGATCTGCCTGTTGTTGCAATATTTAAGTTTAAAATAAGTGCTGCAAGTGAAAATTCCCCCCCCCCCCCCAGTATGGATTAAGTTCTTTGTTGACAATTGACTTAAAACCTACAGAAATTAATTAAAAAGGGTGTGAAGCGTACTGACAGTGTAGTAAATAGAGATAAAGTTCTGCCCGGAATTGGTGCATTCAGTTTCTAAATGGCCGAACCTAAGTTAAGTTGGATGTTCCAAATATTTTTTTGCATGACAATGCCCGACCTCACATAGCACAACGATCTCCTTTAATCATTCAAATGGGAGATTTTCCTTATCCTTCCACCCTACAGTCCAGACCTTTGAATACTTGGTTAGCAGAAACCTCTGTGCTAAGGTTATTTTTTATTCCGGGTGAGGGTCTAATGTAAACTATCCTCTATAATACTTTTAATACTATTTCTTTGAAATGGTGACCATACAAGGTAGGTATTTTAAGCCAAGTATGAATGGAGATGAGTGTAGGATGAGTGGCGCGATCTTGTAGTCTTGTTACTAAGGCCAACATATTCCTCAGACACAGCTGTTAATTAATAGCCCATACAGCTAATGGCAACTAAGGGACCTACAGTTTATAATGGAATCTGAACCACATTTTTGCCTTGGTATTAACAAATTGGTCTAATTATCAGGATAGCACTGCGCATAGTTGTAGTGCTCACTAGTCCGGACGTTAATCCACATCAGGGAGTATTGCATCCACAGTACATGCCTATAAAAATTCACAATTCGTGACCTCCCAGTATTTGGATTAGAGGACGATGCCACTATATATTGAACCTGTTAGATTAAAAATAATGCAATCAATCCCATTTATGAAATGAAACGGAATCCTTTTATTTTTAAGGATGCATGAACTAGTAGGACACGACAGAAACAATCACGATAGTAAAATATTTTCAAAATCAAATGTTTTCATTTAGTGAACAGATTATTTTCACTGATGATTTCTAAGTGTTTGTTATCTCATGTTAATGTGTAGAAGTTGTGATAACTAGTGTAGTATTACTATCACATTATTATAGGCCTACATTAGCAACAGATAATGTTTGTTTGAAAACAAAAATATCTTTAGGCCCTACCTTGTAAATATATTACCTTGTTAAGAACATTGTTTTGTAAATTTGTTTTTATTTATTTTCTGAGTGACAAGAAATAGAAAATTGTATTATTTTACTTGCTTTGTTTTTGCAGAATTATTGTTTTTGTTTTTTTCCAGTATACTTTGTGACAATGTGTGGCATCTTCAGGGAGATTGGGGCACAATCAGTGTAAATAGTATAATGAAAAAAGAACATTCGACAATCTTCCTAAAGATGCCACACAACGTGGCAAAATATACTGAAAAAAAACATGAATCCTGCAAGAACAAAGGCTACAAAAAAAAACAAGGTAAATATTTCAACCTTGTGTTAATCCTATGATAAATCAATGCCAGTACACTATCTATTCTGTATTAACTTAAGGCAAATTTCTTTTCAATATTTCATTTGTTAAGTTTGTATTAAATGGTGACAGTCTTCATTTTTTCAATGTATTAGCCCTCTTTCATATTATTGGTTTTTTATACCGTACTAGCTGTACCGTTGGCTTTGCCCCGTTTAACTTCATAAGTGAGCTTGTTCGCATGGCTCAATCACGTCCTAAATAAGGTACTAAATTTATAAAAACAACAGGCATATTTTTCCTCTAAAAGGAGAAATAGACCATAATAAGTCACAGCCTTTCATCTTAAAAACTAGTAGTAAGTTATAGAATAAAAATAAATATAAAGGCATTTACTTGTTTCTCAATGATTCAATTATCAAAGACAGCAATTCGAACAATAATTGAGGTCAGTCAGTAGTGTCTAGTAACAGCTGACTGGCTCTAGACACCTTGCAATATAATTGAGGTTGCATCATAGGCCACGCTCTGGGTTATGTCAAGTGTGCACTATGAGAAAAGTATACATTTTGACTATTGATTCCATGAATAAGACATAAGACATTTATTCATCATTTTTACATGTGTAATGCATAGACAGGTCAAATTGTTGGTAAATACATCTCGTATTCAGTCTTGGGTAAATAAATGTATAAATATATAAATAACAAGGAATTCAGTTAATACAGGCAATATAATAGAAAAGTTAAATTTGAAATTGAGCAACGAGCAAATAAATACAAAAGGTACAGACCATGGCGAGAGATTTAAAATTTGACAGTAATAAATTAATACTGAATTAATGAATTGAAACCCCTTTTCTCATCCCTAGTGTAGTTAACAAATCAGGTGGGAGTTCAAGTTAATGAAAATAGGCAAAAAAACAAACTTATATTCATTACAGGAGGAATCTTGTGTATTGCATACTGGTAAATGCTGAATGACAATTACGATTTTTGATTAGACAATGTATAAAGAAATGAATAAGTTGATTAGGGAACATCTGTGTGTATTGTTGACATTAGTACACAGCCATGTGTTCTGACTCATGTGTGCTCGCAAATAAATCAACTTTCAGTTCGAACTATACATTCAACTTCTCAGATTTCATTATCATATCATGTTATTTTAGCCTAGGACTTTAGCTAAAAATTATAATTTACTACGTAATCATATTAAACAACCGTACGCCTATATCCCTAATTTGAAAATGGGTAGGCTTACTTAATGACAAACAAAATAATTATAAAATATTAAATTCATATTTTAGATACAAAGTATTTTGTTAGCTTACAATATACTCGTATCTAGCTAAACTTTATGTTTCCTGAGGAATGCCACATCCTCAGGTTTATCCTCTTCCATGATTCGTCATACAATTCAAAATTGGATACAAAACACACATTGAGAAAGAGACGTAAAAAAAGACTATAACTTGTACACGCACCACGACATTGATAAAATCAATGTTCAGTCTTTTCATAAAAAATTTGTCTATGTCAACGTTTTTTGTGTCCAATTGTAAATTTTATGAAAAAAGGTAAAATAGGATAAACCTGAAAGTGTGGCAGTCGCCACGACACATTTAGTTTAGCCAGACATTGAAGAGTATTGTTAAACAATAAAAGGTTATGGAGAAAATGAAAAAAAAAAAACTTATGGATGAAAAGTAAATTGTAGTTTTATATTTTGATCAAACTTGGCAAATCCATTAATTTTAAACTATGGTAATAATGAAAGTAGATCTACAATACAAAGAACTTTACCAAGATACTTGAACTTTTAAAGCCCTTTTCCTATGACAGGAGATGGCACATTGGTGACATACGTCTTTTGCTTTTTTGCATATACTCGATAAAAATGTTATAAATCAACACAACATTTCTTTAGGTAATGTAGTGAGTTACAAGGATGCCAAAAATTATAATATAACTCAATTTTGCTAAAAATGCCACTTAAGTCCCTATACATTGAGACTCGATAGCTAAGCTAACGTACCAAGCATTACGCCAGCAGACTGTAGGCCATAAGCTGTTATCAACACATCACTCGCATAAACAAACAGACTGCCCAGGAAGAAACCGATGGCGGCAGGCAGGAAGGCAAAATCTCCGTATTGTTTAGAGTCCTCAGCCATCTCTATCGCAGGGGCTAACAACGACCAGTACGATGCAGCCATCATGACACCTCCAGCAAACCCTAAACTGGCGTCTAGAAGCACTCTCTGAAACAGGCAGAATGTATGTTTAAGGAGTTGGATTCTAAGCAAACCCTAGTGCAAACCTCAGTTTGGTTCCATGCTAATGTTTAGTCTCTTGAAACAAAAACACATCTGAATAAGAACTGTTTGAAAAAGGTCTACTTAGCCTCTTTTTTAAGGTGTCAAAAATCTGACTCTGGGGGTGGAGCTGCAGAAATCAATGATGTCTTGCTGATACAAAAGAGAGCAGTAAGAATACTAGCCAATGCTAATATTAATGCTCCTTGCATTATCTCTCTTTGTAAATGCGGGAATCGTGACTGTATGTAGTCTGTCCATGGTTTCTTATTAGCTCTGCATATAAAAAAAATATATTTTTAGCCACGTTGTGACGGTGCAATTTCTTCCTGGGACAAAATTGTACTGTCGGCCTCGGATAGCTAATCTAGGCTAATTGAGTATCTTCAGGGTTAGTGGTAATAATAATAGTATTTGGTTTTTTTTAAATATGGGCTCAGATATAGTCGTTAAAGTAAATGACACATTCATCAGAATAAAGATAGCCTATAATTTAGGCCTAATTGATTTAAGTTTTATTCATGAAATGCATAAAAAACGGGAAAAGTTAGGTCTAAAAATACAAAATGATAAACGTCTTTGTAAATTTAGGCTATTAAATTACATAATATATTAAGTTATTATGACATGTCATTTGATTTACTATAAGATAGCGAATTTCCCTATATAGGGAAAGCTATTACTGTATGTCACACGGTAAGACCTAGGCCATTTCGATGTCTTCAGAGGCCAAAAACACCACTCGTTCAAATTTTTATATACCAGGCCTATATATATATGTGCCCGTGAACGCGATAACTTGAGTAATTTTTGTCAGATTTTAATTAAATTTGGTTTAAAGGAGTAAGGCGGGGTAAACTTAAAGGAGTTCGCGAACCAGCATGATAGGACCATGGAAAAGGGCATTTTATTTTTGTTATCAGGGGATTTTATTTTGAAAATATTGGTTCTTCTCATTTTTGACCCTCAAAACATTAAGTTATCTAATTTCTCTATATAAACCTTATTAAAAAGCTTGAAACTAAGTAGACCTTTAAGTTAATTATTTAGTAAGTTTTATATAAAAGTGTTTTTAAGTACGGTTAAGGGATTGGTAACGGAGAAAATTAAAAAAATTTTAATTTAAAATTCCCATGTTAACTTAAGTTAAGTTAGGTACTTATTCTCATAGAGAATATTGTGGGTAAACTTCCGTATCTGTTGTCAAAAACAACTGAAGGAAAATATCAATTTAAGTTATTGATTGTTTCATTCGATATATCGTTTGGTTAAGTTAGTTAGTTTAACTTAACCTAACCAACCAAACAATAAATCGAATAATCAATAATATCGATCGATATTTTCATTCGGTTGGTTTGACAACAGATACGGAAGTCTACCCAATATTGTTAAATGTTGTAGTTTGCTTGGTAATGGAAATAAGTTATGTTGATCAAACTTAGCAATTTATTTTATTTTATTCCAAGCTAGGCCATTCAAATCAAATCAAAGCTTTATTTTCCAATAGACATTACAAATGCATGTGGAATGGTCAATGAAGGTATTATGTTGGGAAACATTTGTCAAGGAAGAGTACAATAGATGTAGAGTACAAGGTCAAATCAAAATATACAAAGATAATATAAAATACATGCAGATGAGGATAACTATAAGAGAAAAAAAGTACAATCATTACTCAATATTTAATGGTTTAGGAAATTCTAAAAAATCGTTAAGTTTGTAGAACGGATTCTTAACTAGCCACATATGAATTTTAGCTTTAAAAACTTTGTAAGGAAGTGATAGCAATTTGTTGGGCAATTTAGACATTTTAGGCCCAGAATTTTATGACTTTTCTTTGTTTTGCTCAGTCTAACATGGGGTATATCAAATTGATGTCTGTTTCTAGTTTGAAAATCACTCCTTATGGCATGTGAGTCCATTTCCTTAAAACTAGTTAACATGATATTAAATATATATAAATTAATCACAGTTAAAATATTAAATTCAATAAAAATGGGGCGACAATGTTCCTCAGGATCAACCCTAGCCATTATGCGCAGGACCTTTTTTTGTAATATTAAGACATCGGAGACATGAGAACTATTACCCCAAAAAATGATACCATAGTTCAAGGCAGACTGAAATAAAGCAAAGTAAACTGATCTTAAATAACTAATAGGAACTAAATCATTAAGCTTACGAAAAAGGCAAATCATTCTACTTAACCTAGTACAGAGTTGCGTTATATGATCAGACCAAGTCAGTTGTTTGTCAATATGGACACCTAGAAACTTTACCACATTGGACAGTTCAGCTTCAAGTGGGCCTATATCATGTAGAGGTCTAAGGCAAAATATGACTGATTGTGTTTTGTCTTTATTCAAAAGAAAACTATTAGCTGAAAACCACTCAGCAGCAGTATTGACTAATATTTTACAAAAAAAAACACTTTATTAGTTTCCTTGTAGCAGCAAACCTTGGTACGGTACTAGTTAAAACCAAATGTTGTTTAAATAGATTTAATTGAAAATCTATTCAGACAAATTCGCTTACCTTAGTCTGCAGGTTTGCTAATTTTGCTGCGATGGGGGTGTTTAAAAATGTTAACTTGTTTGTTATTATCATACTGAACTAAACTAAGTTAACTTAACCAAACCACCACAGCTCAGCACAGTGTGAAAAATGTCTAGGCCTACTTGAAAGACATAAGCTTAGGCCTAAGTTAACAAGTTAACTTACTTAAATCGTGTGAAAACTAAATCTGATAGGATACCGGTACCGATAATCTTATATTGTAGGTTTCCGCAGGACTGTACCTATTCCCAGGTATTTGTAAAAAAAAATTAGCCTACTTGTAGGCCTAAAGCATGTGAGTTAATAACTTATGTACATTTTAAGAGTCAACAATCTTTGGTATCTAGTCAGAGTTCTTAAGTTCTTTAATGTTTAGTTTTAAGGGTGCGCTCTATCTCAGCTCGGATTTCTCAGTAAGAAGTTGCCGAACGCCGATGCCCCTATACCATTGCATTGAACAGCGCTTGCAAGCCTTTCGAGTCTGCGAGATTATAATTTTTAGAAAAATACAAACGGGAAAAGTGAAATAGATTCTTAAAAACAAGAACCTGCCTAGAAGAACTAAAAAAAGTTGAAGGATACATTATCTATGTAACTTAGATATCCTTCAACTTTTTAGTAAACTAACGGCAGGTTCTTGTTTTTAAGAATCTATTTTGCCTTTCCCGTTTGTATTTTTCTAAAAATTATTTGTATGCGTTAAAACTTATGATAAAAAACACGTATTTTAACATTTTTACCAACCTTTGAGCCAAACATTTTTTAAATTATCAAAATGTTAAAAAACGGCAAAACTACAATAATACTTAACAAAAAATATGACACCAAGATCTTTATTTAAATCGGTTCACAATTGGGACTACAATCAGTAAGAACTAGATACCCTTTGCATTCCCGCGCGCCAGTCGGGTAGAGCGCACCCTTAAGAGTATTACAAATCACCTGAAGCAGATCCTTTATTCAAAATTTAAATGGAATTGGTACAGAGAAATTTAAAGTAGGCTAAAATACACTGTTCAAAACTCAAATGCCTACTTACTTGAGTTCCGCTGATGAAAACAACACAACCGGCTCCTGCTGCTGTCATACCCCATGTAAATAATGTACCCAGAAGAGTCTGGAAAATTGGACTATCGCTTTCAATCATAATTCGGTCGAGAATTAAAAACCTTGTCAATAAATAAAAAGTAATCCTTGGTTTACCAAATTAAATATCAAATACAAAAATTAATTCAGCGGTTACCAGTCATTGCAAAAATTATCAATTTGCCACCACACACAACACATAACACACTGCAGCTGCAGCAGAAAACAAACCAAACACAACAGAAGAATACAGCTTGTGGCTTAGCTTGACATTGACAAGACAACTCGAATCTCGAATCTGAATCCTGGATAGGATAGAATGAAATGAATACTGTAGAGAATGAATGCTCAATGCTTAATTGCTGAATCCGTACCGAAACCAATCCGCAACACAACTCAGCTGAACACAGGAACGGAGTCGGAGCGAGAACACAATAATGTAAAATGCTCCCTCTTCCCACCGCACCGACCGCGAAATTATCCACGGCCGCCTTTAACTCCAGGCCGCGGCCTTCGAAGTGGCAACGTCGCAAGTGGTGTTGTAACAGCTGTTTTGTTTGGAAGCAGCTAATAGCATAGATAAAACATACTGGTTAGTCTATGCTAATAGTATTTGTGTATTTACGAAAGAGTACCTGGGGACCGAGCTTTGCTCGGGTAAAATCATTAGTTTATTCGATTTTCAATTCTGTATGTTTTATTTTCAATATTTTAATAAATTTATGTTCACAAATTTAAATTGAAATCTATTAAGTACGAATTAACGAGCTTATGTCACCTGTCTGTCATGTTATCTGATGGGACGTCTGTCTAAACAACACCACTTGTGACGTTGCCAATTCTACCTGGGCACGGCTGTAGTTAAAGGTGGCCGTGAATTATCACAGCTAAAACATGTTATGGATAAAACACGTTTTATCTATGGCTCCTTTCCTTCTACCATGGGCTCCACTAGTATTCTTGCAAATACTATTTACTATGTGGTGGTCCAGCGTAAGGCAAAATTAATTGCAAAAGACTCAGGGAAAGTCTTTAATTACGTGGCACCGGCTCAGAGGACTACCATCCAGCTGATGGTACTCCTCAGCCTGTGAACCTATAAGAACAATAGTTTCACGTCTTGTAAAGGATACAACATTGCATTTAGGAACATTGAGATACATTAAATTCTCCTTGTACCAAGACTCGATGCCAGAGTAAGGGTCCTCTGCAGAGATTCACCATGACTCAAATTACTAATAGTTATAATTTTATATCATCGGCAAATAAAATGTATTCAGACTAGATTACTTCCCGTGTATAAGAAAATATGTTATATAGGCAAGGCTGTTTAACAGTTCATCATTTTCGCCTATTTGGTATGTCGGCCATCTGGGAGCCCATGGTGGGTAAGGTAAATGTAAATGTTAGAACAATTTTTTTTGTCGTGGTCTTTGATCTTGGTTGCGCTGCGCCTGGACTGCGGCTGTTGGTTTTGGTTGGCTGCGGGCCTGCGGCTGCGGGCCTGCGGCTGCGGCTCCGTTCCGGCTGTCTTGGATTGGATATTTTGATATTATATTGTTTGTATTGTAGGTTTGTCTGCTAAGTACTGTTAGATGAATTTACCTTACAAATTCCGAAATAAAAATACAGTACCAAAATTTCGATCAGTTCATTGATTTGAATGATTTATATTGTGGTTAAGTTTGAGTTAAAAGCATCAATTGTAAATTATATTTCCTCAAGAGAAAATTTAACTGCAGAGCCTAACTTAGGCACCTTGGACTAACTTATTGAACACAGTGTTTGTGTTAGCCTAAGTTTAAATTTATTTTTACTTTTTAGTTAGCATTAGCCTATTTAAAGTGGAAAAAACTTCTTCACTCGCTGTATGATATTGAAAATGTTTGAAGATAATGCTTATGAACCTATTGCAGAAATTTATTTAACGCTGAGTAGCCAACCAAGCTATGATGACATATACTGTTTGTGCAGTCGAGTTTTCGTGGAGGGTGTGAAGTAAGTAGCCTAGGCTAATTTAGTATAAAGTGATTTAGTCTCAGTAGGTATAAGCCTAGGTCAAGTTCAGGGCCTCAATAGTAGCTCAAGAAGGTAAGCCCATTGCCCAGGGGCGCCAGTTGTTTTAGGTTTTTTGGGTACCTAAGGGAGAGAAGAATTCCCTCACAAGTACGGTAGCGATGGGAACTATCCGATAGAAACAGTCAGTTTGTCTGGTTGTTCCATGCCAACTGGTTCAACCGATGTGTGCTTTAATTTTCATCTGGATGAACAATCCATTCTATTAAATATGTGAGCAGCTGAATTATCTCTATCCATCTATCTGCAAAACCACCCTTTCTTCGTTTTCATTCAATTGTTAAACTTGCCTATCCGTTCTCCATTTTCATTTCTTTGAACTACGAATAAGTTACCGTATTGGACTAAAACTGCCCTTTATTGAATGGTGAAATGAATATACAGTAGAAACCCCTCATAAACTTAGGTAATTACCTATCCGATCATGACGGGATCGGGCCTCGGTCGGAACGGCTAAAAGGTTGGATGGCACTTTTGTATTATACGGAGGCCACCCTTATACAGCATGCTACGCCGGTCAAGTTGGGTTAGTTTGGGTTATCTTAAATCTTTTATGACTCATTTGGTATCATCCAATTCATAATGAAACAAGGAAAGTCCTACAAACATATTTATGATAACCCAACCTAACTGCCGCAGCACGCTGTAAAATAAGTGGCCTGAGCCGTATAATACGAAAGTACAGGTTGGATATTGGAAGGAGGAGCTTAGCATGCAATCTCGGTGACGCCGGTAATCATCTCCGGCAACTGCGGCCACCCGTGTGTGTAAGTTTCAGTCCTTGCGGCTTCGGGACCTGGGGTTATCGTCTCCTGTGACCGTGGCAACACTCGTGAGCATAACTTACAATATCCGCGACTTCGGTAATCATCTCCCGCAACCCCCGCGATGGCCTTTTGGCCGATAATAAATTCCGAGCTGATAATAATCCAGAGGAGTCGATTATTCCGAGTTCGGACATGAGGGGTTCTACTGCATAGGCCTATCCGTGTACTTCACTACCCTAATAAGTTAGTATTTGGCCTTATTTAATTACATACACAAATGTTTTGGGTAATAAATAGGTTAAACTTAAACTTATACATGTTGGTTGGCTGAGTTGTTTTGTAAAGTGCTTGCCTGACAATCAAAAGGTCGCTGGTTCGATCCTGAGAAAAGTCAGTAGTTTTTTAAAGTTTCGTAACTGGACCCAGCTTTCCCTGATCATTAGGCTTAAAATAAATGATCCTGACTAATGAAACAGCTGATCTTAGTCAGTAACAAAGCTACACAGATCGTCTCACAACATTCTACAGTCATCCTTCACTGATATTTAGGGGTTTCCGTGTAGCCTACATGTTTTGTCTATTCTAAGGTAGGCAAAAGGTATCTCGTTAGTCTTAGAAATAAAGGCGGTGGACCGTATGAATTTAGCAAGTAAAATCGCTGGACCTTGACTTGAACAGCCCTTTATCATAATTTCCAAATAGGCTAATGATATTTTTTATGCAGTCTTTCGGCATTCATTCGAGTTTCATTGGTTATGCCTTTTCATTTCTTGCATTTAGGATTACGAAGCTGTCAAGTTTAAGACCCACATGGTGTCAATGCAGACCCTTCCTTAAAGGATTTTAGGAAATTCATCAGGTGGACTCAGAATAGCGCATTTTTGCAGATGTCACTGTTATTACTGTTTAAAATTCCGTATGTGGCCCGCGAGCTGTAGGTTGGAGACCCCTGCTGTGGAGTAACAAACGATAAATTACAATTTAGAGAAGATCTCAATATAGTGAAAATTAATCTCATGCAATGTTTGCATGAAACTAATTTAAAGAAAGTACTGTGCGGTAGTGACTCAATTGACATATACTGGAATAATAACAAGTTAGGCATCTACTAACAATCTAATCTTATGGTTTAAAACATAAGTTGATGATTAACACATTCACTGCGCATGACGAGTAATCTCGTCACCGCTAGCGCTCTCCAGTGGCGTGCGAAGAGTATATTTGTCAAAGCGCCGTTTACAAACCATTGTTTCAATGCGAGAATAGCCACTGCTGTGAGAAGTTGTTTCGCTTGCCGCTTATTGTGCCAGTGTTATAGGCTACTTCAATCCCTGTTATAATTAGTTTTTTGATCCGACTATTTTGTTGGTGGTAGCGACAGTTACAAATTTATTGTAGTGTGGGGTTTAGGCTTGGATCTAATGACATGCAATAGAATAACGTTAATGAATGTACTGTAGCATTGTGGAAGTAACCTATTAGTACAGGTAAAATAATACAAAAACACTCCATATAAACGACAAAATTTGTACATTCATGAAATTTCACCTGTGAGTTACTAATAATATGAGAAATGAAGATCCGATGAGTCCCCAAAATTTTGGGCGTCCTAAGGCCCTTTTTGGGACCCTTTTTGTTCCAAAGGGCCCTTGTTCCTGAATAATTTTGTTTTTACGTTTAAGGTCGAGTGAGGTGTGGTTTTCGATGGTTTTAGTTATTTTAAATCGATTGGGACTATTTTTAAGTGTATTAAACCACTCCATACAGGGTGTTTCGAAATATTATTACTTTTTACGATATTTAAACATTTATTCATAAAGTAATAAAATTAGTTACCTCCATGCTCTATATAAAAGGGGATTATTGAAAATAACTGTAATTCTTTACTATATAAGAGGAAAGGATCACAAGGAGTAAGAGAAAATATTAAATACCCCCGTCACAGCAAACCTGCAGACTAAGCGAATTTTCATTTGCCCGATTTTCAATTAAATCTAAAATAGAATCGAGTTTAATGAATACTTAGGTTTTCTACTACAAGGAGGCTAATAAAGTGTGTTTAAAGTAAAATATTAATAGCCTAGTATAAAACAAATAAATTTGACAAGTTGTATTAAGACATATCTATAAACAAACAAACAAAATCATTTTACACTATATTCTCCTTAAGAATAACATGGAATTTTAAATTTAAAAATTTTGAACTTTATTCGTAACTAATACACTTTCAAAACACGTTAATATACTAAATTATTTGTTTTCTTTAAGCTCTTTAAAATGTTCTAGAGAAAAATTGGGAAACTTTGTCTTTTGAGGGTCAAAGATTACAAATTTTACCACATAAAACCCTGTTCCATGGACCGATTATGCCGGTTTCGTTAAAATTGAACCAAAATTACTCGAGTTATCATGTTTACGGACACGTATATAACATGGATATATTATATATATGTATATAAACACATATATAATATTTTGAGTGGATGGTGCTTTAGGCTTCTGGGGGCATCGAAATGAAAACGTAAATCGGTTTCGGGTCTATGTTTTACCATAAGACCTTCGGTAATAGCTTATCTTCTATATTAGATGTTCGCTAAAAGGGGATGGATTAAGTTTTACACTATAACATAATAACACAGGTTACTAAGCAAAAATTTCAACTTTTAAGGTGGTGTGAATAATCTTTCAACGTGTTTTTATGCAAATCTATTAAGACCAATTTCTAATTGATATGTATTTTTTTAATATAGGCTAAGTTATTTTTTTTACATTTATTAAAAATTAAAACAATTGTATTTGTATAAAACCTTACATTACATATTAAAATGAAGTATACTTAAACTAAAGCTATTTTTCTACAATTTCCGTAGTATCTCTCTTTCCAATTCAACCATAATTCAATCTTCTTTACAACTTGGAATATAGGTAGGCCTATATTCCAAAATTAATATATTTGTTATACATAAGTCTCTTAACCTTATATATCAAAAGATAACACTCAAATCACAATAATTATTCTCAGACGACTCATTAACAATTTTATTATTCTTAGCAACTTGTCAATCTTTACTGATTTTGTCCAAGTTGGTGTTCAAGCAGGATTCCCCTTTACAAACCCTGCATATTGCAGAACAGGCAACACTAATCTTAAAGCACGAAAATGGAGGTGCAAAAACACCTTTCATACAAACTGACGTTTGCAACTTGTATCTTAAGTTCCTCAAACTTATTTTCAATCAATACAAGTACGGTTATCTTTCGTGGTTATGACGACCAGGACAGCACTAAGACATCAGAGCAGCATTGTCGGTACAAGCATTTTTGTCCTGAACAATGGGAACGAGGTTTATGAGGTAAAAATTGGATTTTCTTATTTACTTTACCCTCAAAACACTAAGTTTCCCAACTTTTCTCTAGAACATTTTAAATAGCTTAAAAACAAATAATTTAGTATATTACCATGTTTTTGTATGGTTATTAGTTACGGATAAAAATAGTAAAATTGTAAATTTAAAATTCCCATGCTATTCTTATGTAGAATAGTGTAAAATGATTTTGTTTGTTTGTTAATAGATATATTTTGATCAAACTTGTCAAATTTATTTGTTTTATACTAGGATATTAATATTTTACTATAAACACACTTTATTAGCCTCATTGTAGCAGCAAACCTAGGTAATCGTTAAACGCAATGCTATTTTAGATTTAATTGAAAATCAAGTAAGAAAAACGGAAATTCGCTAGGTCTGCAGGTTTGCTGTGACGGGGGTATTTAATATTTTCTCTAACTCCTTGTGATCCTTTCCCCTTACGTAGTAAAGAATTACAATTATTTTCAATAATCCCCTTTTATTTAGAGCATGGAGGTAACTAATTTTATTACTTTATGAAGAAATGTTTAAATATCGTAAAAAGTAATAATATTTCAAAACACCCTGTATGGTGTGGTTAAATACAATTAAAACTACTCCTAATCGATTTAAAATAACGAAAACCATCGAAAACCACGTCTCACTCGACCTTAAACGTAAAAACAAAATTATTCAGGAACAAGGGCCCTTCGGAACAAAAAGGGCTCCAAAAAGGGCCTTAGGACGCCCAAAATTTTGGGGACTCATCGGATCTTCATTTCTCATATTATTAGTAACTCACCGGTGAAATTTCATGAATGTACAAATTTTGTTGTTTATAAAACCCTATTTTACCTGTACTATATCCCTAAAATTGTGATTGACCACTTTATTGCAGCATTTTTTGATGCTGTATCCGGGTAATTCACACCTGCTTTCTCCCTCCATTTGACAATACTTAGGGTTGGGTAGCAGTATTGTTTAATGCTGCTATCAGTTGGGTTCTTGTAAAACTACATCCACAAAAACTGGGATGCACTTATGGCTCTCATTTGGATGAAACTAAATTTAAACGTTTTCGCGCACTCGCCCACGCAGCGCATTAGATGTTTGTGACACAGCTGGCCATTGCGCAGCCACATTGAACGTCTTAATTAAATTAATAGTAACACATATGTATACACTACAACCTCGTTTAGTCAAACCAGTCCAGATCAATCAGACCTAAAGAATTAATTGTCTTTATCATGGGAAAACCCCTTTAAAATATCTCTAGATTGCAATAAAACAAAATCAATGACTCACCACAAGGGCATGCAGCAGTATATTTAGTAATCTGATGTTCCGCTACCGCAAACCAACTCGGTTGTGTGAAATTGTTAAACACGATCACTGATCTATTACAACCTCTTACAAACCAATAGTGCTATTCAGTCCTAGTCCGGTTATTCAGAGGTTTGACTTAACGTTGTTGTACTGTATTTCTTTCAAGTTTTATTTTGAAAGAGGGTACCACACGGTTGTAGGCCCTCAGCCTGTCCAGTCCTACACTGATCCTTTTTTTATTACAAAATTAACCACCATAGCACACGTCCATACCACACTACCCAATGGTATTGTAATATTATTATTTGTCCCTTAACAAATTAAACCTTCACAGTAGGCATGTACATATCTATGTTATCCAACTGTAGCCTATTGTATCGTAATATAATTTTCAATTCTAACAAAACTAACCCCAATAGTACATGTTCACAATGTACTCAATTGTATTTTAATATCAACCATACCTTCATCAGTGGTGTTGAGGAAGAAGCTCAAGATTGTCCTGGCGTAGAAGCAGCTACTCTGATAGAAACAAGCAAACCTGAACAGTTGGGAGAAAGTACGGTTAGGTTCTACAACTCCTCTGCTGAGTCCCATACTGTCCACACGCCCAGAAAAAGTCATGTAAGGAACTTTGAGTACCTATTGACGTATATTTTTTTCTTTTGCACAGAAACTCCTTTTTACGTGTGCCACAGTGCATGAACATTATTACAACTATTATAAACTAAGAAGGAATATTCAAATGGTAGAAATAGTTCTCTCTTTGTTATGGCATTGTTGTAGACCTAAATTATTTAACTATTTGTTCCCATTTTTTCTTAAGTTTAACATTTGGATTTGGTATGTTAACACTGCATGTATATTTCAATGCATGGTTACAAATTTTTATCTTGTTCCTTCAATTGTTTTAAATAATAAATTGCAGATAAATTGAAACAGTGTTGAGAATGATAGTTATTTTATAACAATTTGTGTAATGTTTATTTTTATTAAAGGATATAAAGTCTTAAACATTAAGAATGTAATATTTGGAACATTTTATTGAAAACAGGTTTTAGTTTTAATCTAGGCCTATATTATTAAAGGCATTTTTTGTGCAGCAAATCGACCCCTAAATATTAATTTTTATAGGCATATTGGGTATCAATTTAAAGCTCTTATCCTCTAGATGTGCCTTTTGCGGGTTTGGATGATATCCCGTGAAAGCCCTTTGTCCTAATGCTTTTAACATTTCATAGTTTGTGCAGAACTCTGTTGTCAATAATCTGAATTTTTTAAAGTTCACATTTAAAGTGCACATCAAAACAGATGGCCAAGATACAATTTGTTTACATCCAAGGACGTCCCTAGGGTTGGCGGCGCCCAGGGCAAACGTGGTCCCTCCCCCCAGTAGTAGTCGCATTCGCATATGTTAAGCCCGCTACACACGGTCAGTTTGGTGTGTTCATTTCTAACTGTCACTTCTAACTGAACGCAGCATTTGCATCCACACGGTCAGTTCGGTGTGTCAGCTCAACGTGCTACCTGGGGGTGTAATCCTCCCAGGTACGCTTCCCCTCCTGGGAAGTCGTACTCGTTCGTATGTATTTTCATAAAAATGTTTATTTTCCTACACAGGACAGATTTGTTGGTGATGAGATGGATCTCTTTCACCTTTCCCACGATACCTAAAAGAATAATATGATTACTAAAATTATTATTAGTTGTAAATTGTGATAACCTTCATATGAATTATGACTTAAATGACAATAAACAAACTGTAACCGGACAGAACTAACAAATAAATTTCCTTCAGTTAATTCTTAAGTATGAGAATTCTACTAAGGAAGTATGTTTTATCTATGGTATAGGTTATATAATGACGCTGCGTATGCTCAAATACCAAAATTTGACTAACTGAACTGACGCGGCGGTACACACGCTCACTTCGGACTGACATCAGTTCGGTGTGTCACACCGAAATGATGAATTTTCATCAGTCCATCAGTTCAGTTTTTTGATGTGAGCTCACATCAATTTGGCGTACACACGATCAGTTCGGTGTGTCAGTTCGATGTGAACACACCAAACTGACACACCGAACTGACCGTGTGTAGCGGGCTTTAATACTTAGGTTAATATAAATAGCCGCGGCACTGCTCCCCTTCAGCTGCGGCGTTCCCTCAGTAGCGGCACCATCTGTAGTTGGTGATGTTTCAATGAATTGAAGTAAAATTTTGTTAGGTTATTTGTATAAAAAGTAAACAAGAAAATGACTTAAGTTATTCATTGTGTTGTGAGAGGATTTTGTGTTTTCGTAGTATGTTTTATTGGTGTTTTAGGGATTTCAAGTAAAATATTGTAATGTTACCGGTATTTGTGTAAAATGTAAAGAAATGACTTGCGTTAGATTTTGTGTTTTCATTGTACGTTTCATTAGTAGCCTATTTGTAATTTTTCTAAGATGCCTCAAAATGATTGCTCACGCAATGAAAATAATAGGGCTGGCAATGCAAATAATAGGGGATGTGATAAGACATAATCGTTTTCACCCTTATCAAGTACATATCAAATATATAACGGATTTTGAAGTCATGAAGTGACACAGGCTGCTAGTTATTAAAATACTTGTTTCAAACAGTCTACCCTTCTTTCTCATTACCTGTGGTTTTAGTAGGAAATGACCTACTGGAAAATTTTCTTTTTAGTTTTGTAATTCCCTTGGAGGCTTATTTAACCACGCACCAACACAGCAGTCTTGTCTTAGAGGAGGCTATGAACGCTCCATAAGCCAATCTAAGTACGCTATTGGTTACAGCAGGAGGAAGCAGTGAGCTGTTACTGCAGTGCTTCTCACTACTCAACAGACGAACACGACAGTCTGAGGGACAACAGTGGACTGCAACACAGCGACAGTGGAGCAGATCTGTCGGAGAGCTCCAGGGATCCGGACTGGGACAGGTAGACAACAAATTGTATACCAGGTTTAACATAATTTCCGCTTTCTTATTCCAAAATTTCTATCTTTGTCATAAAAAATGTTGCAAAAATATGCTAGTTCTAATCCAACGTTAAGAAACAATATTGGTTTTAGTATTCATTTCATATGTTTGTTCACAGAAGTTTACTGGTTAATACTTGCCTATAATCCAAGCCCCCAACAATTATGAAATTAAATTAAATGAAAAATGTCTTTATTTAAGAGGTGAAGTTAGGAATTATTTGAATTAAAATTTTGTCCAATATAGAATATATTTCAACAACACTTTTCTTGCCTTACTTCAGATTATTAGGCTTTGTAAACTGTCTGCTGCATTTCTGTTGTTTGTTCTGTCACTTTTGCTCTCGAGCATCCCTACCTCTGTTATGGCATGACTTAATAGCTTTTTTGTGATTTCTTTGAATTTCATACCTTTAAGTTGGGTTATGAATTTAATCATTGTATTACTGTATTTATTTTTCAAATTAAATGTTATCTTTGACTTTTTCAAATATTTATTCTCTTCTCCTTCTGTGATCCTTTTTTATTTTTCTATGAATACCAAAGATTTACAAACAACTGTCCTATACTTTAATACTTTTCAAACATAGTGTAGTATTGCACCTGGTAATTATGAGGTCTTCAACTGTATAATAATTTAATCTTTCTAACATTGCCGTTCCACAATTATGGTTCTCTATTGTGTATTTATAAAGTAATGATTATTTATTTTTATTTCAAGTACAGTAAAATTTTTTCTCCAGGTATTGGACGCTTCACGGAGAACGTCTAATCTGGGAAAGTTGGATATCCAAGTACGGCTCGTTCATAGATCCTAGTTATTTACAGCAGAACACTGTAGACACGACCCAGAGTCCAGCCGAAGGTGATGAAACTTCCTTCTGTGTTCAGTGTGAGAAAACTTGTGATCCCAATAGAAAAACTTCATTCAGTGGTTTATTACCGAATGTCAAAACTGCAAAATTCAGTGCAGAATATCAAAGTTCCATAGATGGGGAGAAAGTTGACGAGGCGCCGCTAATTTTAGTGGACATTGTTAAAACCGAAGACGATTTTCTGTTGCGTAGGCTTTCCGATATTTCCGAAACAGCAAAGTCGCTCTCCGGAAAGAGTGAAGACTCAAATTTAGACGATACAGATAGATTGCGTTTGAGTGTGGTGAGTAGATGTTCAGGCAGTAGTGCGCCATTGTCCGCTACGACAGACTCTATGACCAATGTAACTCGGATCACACTGTCATCGTCAGACTCTAGTTACGGCTTGGACGACTCGTCAGGCAAGAGCAGCTCTCTGCTGTCGTCCTCGGACTCGAACAACTCAGTGGATCAGCAGTGGCAGCACCTGTGGGCAGAACACTTCAACCAGCAATACTATTACCACTACAACAAGTTCACCCAGCGGTACAAGAAAAAGGACTGCGAAGAGGCAAAGACTGATTCAGGTACTCATAAACTAAGGTCGTGTTTTCTACACCTTTTTAATTTTATTTAAGAAAATGTCAAGTCTATTTCAGAAAGCATCAATTGTACAGAATCAATTTCAGAATCATCAATTTTATTTCAGAAAGTATCATTTGCATTCCAGACTAGTAACTTTTATTTAAGAAAACACCAATTGAATTTCAGAAGCAGTCATATGTATTTCAGAAATTATTACATATACTTCAGGGTTAGTCAAATGTATTTCAGACAAAGTCAATTGTATTTCAGAAATTATCAATTAGACAATTTTTCCCAGTCGTAGCGGATCTGATTCAAATTCAATTTATAAGAAGCCCAGGGTTAAATCTACTGTAGTTTAATTAGGTTAGCCTGGAAAATGCAGCCGTTTATCACGATTTTTTCCTGATTTGACCAGGCCTAATCAGATATTTTTTCCATGTTGAATCACATCCTATGATACCAACATTATACTAACTAAATGTTTTTTTTTCTCATAACGAATCATAGCTAATTCCTAATGCTGATGACAAAGTTGTTTACACAAATTATTTCTGAAATACAATTGATATCTTCTGAAATGCAAATAATTATTTATGGAATCTAAATTATCATTTCTGAAATAAAAGTGATGATTTCTGAAGTTAAAATTACTATACTGAAATACAATTGACACTTTCTAAAATTAAAATCTTACATCTGAAATACAAATTGCCATTTCTGAAATACAAATGACCATTCTGAAATACAATTGACCCTTTCTGAAATAAAAGTGGAAAAGGTGTAGATAGTACAAGTCCTATTTCCAAAAAGTTAATTTTAAAAAGTTTTCTATTAGTAATTTTGTTAGAAAAACACAAAACTTGCTCAACTATTTTTAGTACTGTATGTTCAATATGTATTTAAAGGTTACTTTTAATGCTGTTCGGGCACGGCTGTCTGCCACTTTCAGCTCACAGTTATTAGTGAGGCGTAAAGCAGGCCAGCTTATTCCTATTCAGCCATGGAAGGTAATTTCCAAAAATAAAGGTACAAATCTACTGGTCAAAGGAAACAAGATATAACTGGAAAAACATTGCAACAAGTAAATCGTTATTACTTTGTTAGAAAATAACGTACCTATTTTAAATGAGCTTAAGTCTAAAATGAATTGTGTCATAGTATTTTTGATTTAATTGGAAAGCGACAAGTATGTTATTGTTTTTTTTTTTTAATTTCTGGATGAAATTACAATCCATCTTCTTGAGCTTGATTTATAAGTGATACCGTAGTAAAAAAAGTCCCACACATTAGCCTATTGGTCAGAATCATTTAACGGCTATATATTTTAATTTCTTATTTAAATTATAAAAATTAAGTTGGCTTATGACATTTTATTTTCATTGGATTAGGTGTTAACACCAATATCCCGCTAATTTTTTGTTAGATAATGTGTATTTCTGCAAGTGATACCTGGTTGTGATACTGGCTTCTGCTTTAATATTGAACATTAAAATAATTTTAATCCTTTCATCTTTGGTAAACATTCTTAACTACCACATGCTTAAAAAACAACATTACCCTCATAACAGAAATAATATCGACCACATTTGTGATTGATGCATGGTGTATTCGGGACTAAGATGCCATTTGTTGAACCATCAATTTTTTTTTTTTGTCCTAGGACGCTAGGCACGAGCCTGGGATTGTTTTTCACATTACTTCAGGCTAGACCTAGGGGTTGCGGCATTATCACTTAGATAAAGTCCTTTGGTGATTTGGCGGGGATCGAACCCGGGACCTCAGGGACAGAAGTCCCGCGCTCTAACCACTACGCCAGCTTGCTCCCCCACTTTGAACCATCAATGATGACAATTAATGATACTATATAACAAAAGGTCGATGTTAGATCACCTACCAAAGCACACCATGTAAAAAACATTTAAAACAATTATTTACGATTATTTTCATTAATATTTTCAGGATTTATCGTAGAAGACAGCCGAGTATCTCAGCAAACTCACCACCAAGAGTCTATTGACGACGTTGTGAGCATAGAGACACAAGACAGCGTTAGTGAGGGTGAACATTCAAAACCTCCGTCTGTCAGCAGCAAGTCTAGCAGCAAAAGCGACCAGTCCAAAAGGAACAAAGAGAAAAGGTAAGCTGCAGGTCAGAAGAATATCTAGGCATATACATTACTAACACATCTGTTGTGTGACATCTTAATGTAAATGTGAACTAAAAGAGTTTATGTGACGTCAAGGATGAGACATAAAAATTGGTAGAAATTGATTAGAAAATAGTTTTGAGTGTAATACACTTGTTGTCACTATTCAAGGTAGCCTACCTGTAAACTGTACTAAATGAGTAAAGGTTGAAATTGGTTGAAAAAATTAAAACACAAGGTCAAGGTTTTGAGGGACGAGGCTTGTTAAGGTAGCAGGTTTACCTCAATGGAAAGAGTTCGCCATGGCTCAAGAAACCCAAAATCGTAACTCTACACAAAATTGTTAGAATATTTCAGCATTTTCAACCTTAATGTTTGAAGACATCTCTCTTCTCATACCTTGTTTAACCTTAAACTCCTACGGAATTATTATTGAATATCTAGTCCCCATTGCTTGCTTGGTTTGTGTAATGGTTAACGTTTTATTTTGATGGTGTAGGATTGCCAATAGTATCTACTTAACCAAGTAATATTTTTGACAAAAAATTCTTTAGCTTGTTAAATCCAAACCAATAAAATTAATATTTTAGTTTTACAATTGACCTCACTGTACATTCTAGGTCTAGGTTGCTGCCTGTCCCAGTCGGCTACATACTACAGCAGTTGAAGGCAATGTCTGTAGAGCCGAGCGAAGGAATACAAGAGGAAGACGAGAGTGTGTCCCTGTCTAGACCTTCAACTTTGGAGAGTGTTGCGCATTTGGAACGTCAAGAAACGGAGTGTGTAAATGATGATAGCACTGCAGTAGAAGATAACGAGAATGAAGCTATTGTGAACTGTCAAAGTGTGAGTGTTGATAGAAAAACTGTGGAGACTCCCGAAGAAAACTGTAAACAAGACGGTTTGAGTGACAATGAGGCTTGTGAAAACGATCAAGACGAAGCTATGGAGAGGAATTGTGATAACGACTGTAACATCAGGCACGGAGTTAAAAGGAGGTGAGTTTAACATTTAGTCTTGCATTTGTATATCTGTAACAGTTTAATCTGTTAAATTATTATTGTTTTTTTATCCAATTTATTTAAAGAAACTCATTGGAAGAGTAACGTCAAGCTGTTCCCTGTTCTTGAAAGAGTAGTAGTTTGGCCGTCAAGTTTGGTTTACATTGATTAAGTACAGATGATAAACTTTAAGTTAAATCGGCCATGTACATTTTTGAACTTTTATCTGATATACAATTGGGACAGTCATATGTAGGAAACTACTTGAGTAAGTGGCAAGAAAAGTTACTAAATAGATTTTACGATGAAAATTTATCCTCAGACAAACAGTTAAGCTATTGATAGCTCATGCAAATTTGTCCTTAAGAGTAACACTCTAGTAAGATCTTAAAAAAAATCACAAGCAGCCTTACTTACTTGAGGTTATTACACGGACTGTCGTCCTTCTTTCCATTGTACTCCTGCTGCTACTGAACTTACGACATCATCATCGAATTTTCATGAAAAATCCAAAAATCCACACAGATTAGCATTAGAAGGTAAATAGATAAAAATTTAAGGTACTAAAAAAACTGGTGAAGGACACAATTATTTCCATTTTGGCTTATACCGTACTTTTGTTAAACATAAACAAACGGCGTTGAATCAACATAATTTTAAAATACAAATTGTCAAGAGAACCATTAAACGTTCCCACATAAAAGTGTTAAACTGTGATAACTATATTCCTACAAAAGCTCCTACGATGCTTGCTCTTGTCCATTTGGGGCCTAAATTCATTTTTGTCTGTTTGTTGAATATCTGCATCAAAACTTTATTTTTATATTTTACTCAAATAGTGTGATAATATTAATATACTAATTTGATGAAAAGATGAATTCTACAATACGAACATGAAATGTTCAAGAGTGGAAATTAATTCACTGTGCAACTACCTCATTGTGTTGTTAGCGTAATAATTATGTTAAATTTACTAAAACTTTTCTTGAATTTACCTACTACTTACTTTTCCATCTAGCCATGAAAATGAAGCCAACGGATCCTGTGCAGAAAAAGTCAAGAGCGCTTACCAGCTGATGGGTTTTATGTTTGACATGGAGAAAACGAAGAAGATAAGAAAAGCGTCTGTTTGGTACAAGAAACGTTTCAACCAGATAAGGTTCCAGAATCGCATATTACGGCTGCACAAACCTATGCCCAACAAGAAAATTTATTTTGATGACGAAGGAGAAGTGGTCAATGAAACTTTGCCAAAGGTAATTTTCCATAAAACATATATTTAATTGTTGGTAAGTAAGTTTTGGTAGAGTAATTTTTAAATTACATTTATCAAAAATTAATTGTTGAATTCTGATTGTACTTTACTCTTTTTTGTAAAATTCTCATTGCAATAAATTCCTATGTTATTAATTAAATTTATCTGTCCTTGCCATTATTTTGTGAGTGAAACTGTAAAACTTAAATAAAGTTAACGTTTTTGCTAGAAAAGGTTCATTCTGTTACTTTTCTCCACCACCTATTGATAGGCCTATTTGTATTTTTAGTTATGTTGAATCAGTCTCCCTGTTACCAACGTAGTTTAAACTTGAAATTATAGTTGAAAAGGACACTAAAATTTTTGCTTTTCTTAGATTTGTTGACTAGCTTTCTAAGGTTTTTGATTTTTCACCTAAATAACATATACATTATATTCAAAGTTCATATTTATATATTGTTTACTAATTATGGGAATCTAAACAAGAGTGAAATTTCCAGCCAAGGACTACAGAAGATGTAGACAATCCAGAGTGTTTTGCCGATGCTTTGGATACTTCTGAACTTCATCCCGATCATGAGTCTCATGAATTGAAGAAAATGGAAGATTTCTCAGAAAAAGACGACTCTTCCGATGATGGTCAAGAAGTGTTCTTCTCTGCTGAAGAAGACTATGTAGACGGCGGACAGGAGAGACGGGAATACAAGTCAAAAAATGTACAAAAGAGGAAGAAAAAGAAGCAGTTTAAAAAGAAGTCTGCCATTCCAGATGTGGTGATTGCTAATCCAAAGATACAAAAGTTCTGGCGAAGAAGATACCATCTGTTCTCAAAGTATGATGAAGGAATAAAATTGGACGAAGGTATTATATTTTCATTGATTATATTTTTTAAGTGTACAACATTTTCAAATATTTAGTTGTAAGGGTTCCAGTTTTGTTTAACACTCTTTCTGAAAGTTAAAATGTTGTACAAATTTGTGCTTTAGTAGTGAATGTAGTGTTATTGGGTGTACAACGGATTTCTTATCCTTATTTGTAGATCTGCACTAAATTTGACTAAATTAGTAGTGGGCCACGGCCACCTTTAACTCCAGGCCGTGGCCTGTTAGAATTGGCAACGTCGCAAATAGGGTTGTTAAGTGTCAGACGTCCGATCAGATAACATGGCAGACAGGTGACATCAGCTCATTAATTCACACTTTATTGATTTAAATTTATGAACATAATGTATTAAAATATTGGAAATAAAACATACATAATCGAAAACCAAAACAATATGAATTGAAAATCTTTATCTGTACATTTAAAGCGGAGTCAATATTTTCATAGTCCAGTAACCAAGCTTTTGTAAATAAATACACAAATACCATTAGCTGCTTCCAAACAAAACAGCTGTTTACAACCCTACTTGCGACAATGCCACTTCGAAGGAGTTAAAGGGGGTTGTGAGTGAATGAATACTAAACAGCTGCAAAATGTAATTAGCCTCTTTCATATGCATTATTGCATTTGTCTATTTCATTTGGAAAATCACTTGAGAATTGCAACTACCGTATGACTTTACTCTGTGAACACCTAACAAATCCTCTTTATATTTCTACTACCTTTCACAGTGTCGGTCCTGACGGTGTTAGTTAAAAGTCACAATGTATTTAAGGTCTCCTATTTTACTGTTAACTCACAAAGGTTATTTGTCTTGATGATTAAATCTCACTTCATGATGTGAATTATTTTGTGGTAATTTTAGGTGCTGTACTCACTTAAACATATTAGAATAAGAAATCCTTAGTTATCTTATTTATTCTTTTATAGTTTTAATTGAGTATATTCACTCATTGTTGTGGTTTGCCCCTGAGCTGGTAACAAATACAAATATTAATAGTGGTTTATTTACCTTGTACTTTTCAATTAGATTCCATACAACTTTTTTGAGCTGGGGCGAAAATACAAGGTGAATAAACTACTATTAATAAAGTTAGACTAGTTATGAAATGAGTAAACAATTTGTATCCTTTTGAAAAATAAGATGAATTACTGGAAAATGATTTTTTTTTACTTCAGTACAGACTTGGCCTGGATAGTTCAATGAAACTTCAATGTGACTGTTACTGATTTTACTTTGATTCTCATCTTGCAAATGATTTGTCAGAGAGCTGGTATTCCGTGACGCCAGAGCCCATTGCTACTTTCATCGCTGAACGGTGCCGCTGCGACCTGGTTGTGGACGCATTCTGTGGAGCCGGTGGAAACGCGATACAGCTGGCCTTCACGTGTGAAAGAGGTTAGAAATTTTAGCTGGTTGTTGGTTCATGACACTAGTAATTATGAATCAAAACATAAAATTATTTAACACGATCAAGGCTGCATTTATCAAGACACTCATTGAGGCTCCTTCCTAGAAAAGAGGTGATGAAATCCGAGTTTGACGAGTTGGGTCAAATCTTTACTAGAGCCAAAACGTGGCTACCTCATATTTCTCCTGAATAAAAAATAAATTCATGCAATGACAGCAGTCAACCTCACTCAATAATTTGGAAGTCAAAGTGCCATCAAGACCGGTCCGAGCGTTCATCGTCATGGTAATTTTTACACTCCTTAACCCATTTCTGTATGTTACCCTCATTCTGTTATATGCACGAACGCCCTTACTTAAAAAAACGCTCCTCGTTTTAGTAATTCTCAAACTCCTCCCCCCCCCCCCCCAACCTTAAATTACAATGATTCCATTGAGGTATAACCAACATTCAATATCTGCGACTCTTATAATTAATAATGTGATTTGCTAGATTTCCCAAAAATCCTATCGCTTTCTGATTAAAAAATAAAATTCACCCTTGTTTTTATGTATCTCACACTGAAGGTACCAGCATATCTGTCTTTTGTTCTAACTTTGAAAACTCTTTTGTCTTTTTACAGTAATCGCGATTGACATAGACCCTCACAAAATTGAGCTGGCTCGCAACAACGCCCGAGTGTACGGCGTGGAGGATCGGATAGAGTTCATCACCGGTGACTTCCTACAGCTCGCTCCTCATCTCACTGCGGACGTGGTGTTCCTCTCGCCGCCGTGGGGAGGTCCTGACTATGTGAGGAGGTCTGTCTACCCATTCTCGGCTCTGTTGCCCGTGGGAGGCCGGGAGCTGTACCAGCTGGCCTCTGGGATCACTGAAAACATTGTGTTCTACCTGCCCAAGAATGTCAACACCCAGGAGGTAGGATGAGGTTATATATCTGTGTGTGTGTAAGACTCATGTAATGTTTTGCTAAGGATAGATTTACTTTTGAATTGAAATGTTCCCATTTCTTCCCTTTTACAAAAACAGAATCCTGTGTAACTTTTATTTTCACAATATCTACCGCCATTGACAGTGGCGTACCGACGGGGGGGGCGGTCCGCCCCAGGCCCCACACCAACATTGGCCCCCAAATGTGGGCCGTATTCCCCCAACAGCGGACACAGTGAGTGCGGCCATTGCCGAGGGCCTCTCATCGGCCTAGGAAGGGGCCTAACTTGGGTCTCAAAAAACGTATTTTCTCGTGGAAAATTTATTTTGCTGTTGGAATATAATAATCTGTTCTCACAATCGCGGCAGGCGCCTACAAAGATCGCGCGATCAAAAATCGCGACTCCCAGGGATCGCGATCCGCGGAAGACGATAATAAGGTCTCGCAACCGCAAAAGATGTTCCGTGTTCACGATTTTGCCGCGATAGCGGGGGACGATAATGTTGTCCACGCGTTCACGGGAGATGTTAACGACTTCGGCACGTAGAATACATCCCTGCGTCCGCGAAAGATGTTCACTATTCCACCGTAAGCATAGGAACGATTTCTCCTCGATCTCGTAGATAACCCACGCGACCGCGGGAGACGGAGATTACACGACCCTGCAAACACGAGGATGTCTTCTCCGAGGACACTATCGTTCATTTTTGCCCCGATCCCAGAAGTCGTTTGGACCAATTATAATACAAAACATAATGGATAGTATAAAGATAATATAATTATATATTTTATACAAAAATAGTAGGCCTGTCTCCTAAATAACAAAATTAAAAGAAGTGACAGCAAAAAACCGGATTTGTGACACATCTTGTTGTGCTCATTTCATTTCATTTCATATCATTTGACTTTATTTATTTAATTATAATAGGCCTACATAAATACAGGAATGTTCTCGTGCTCATTACGAATCACCAACTCATAAAAACGTCAAATGTTAAAAGCTTAAAGGAAAATTTAATTTAGCATTAAATTTTTCTCAAATGAAAAAATGGGTTAGGCCTACTTTTAAAATAGTTGAAGTAAGCTCATTTAATCGGTGATACAAGATACATTAAAAGCATATACTTCTTTTTAGTTCTAATCACTGTTTAGGGTTACTTTTTAATAAACACCATGGTACCTACCCTGTTTAAAGTTATTTAAAACAGGGTACTATGGTATTTATTATTTCACTTATAATATATGTACGTAAAAAAAGGCCCTCTCATCTAAGCCGCCCCAGGCCCCCAACTATGACAGTACGCCACTGGCCATTGACTTTCGGGTACTCTAGTATATATCCTATCCATATGAACCAGCTGTAGCCAATTTTTATTTAAAAAATGTAGATTCATGCATTTACGGAGTACGCTACTTCTGAATTTGTTTATCTGTATCAAAATCAAAATATGCTTTGTTAAAAAAAATTAGAACAGTAGAAAATATAAAAATACACTTCCAGTGAAACAAACATCTTACTTACTATTGCATAAAATAAAATAATAATACAAATACATATAGGCTAAACTTAATAATAATGATAAGAATAAGAAGGTTTCATAGAAAGCGATGTTAAATAAACATTTAGGAAATAAGCCTAATTTGTAAAGTACCGGCAATGATTCTGAAGCTAAATGAGTGAAATGGGCAATTAGAGGGAATGAGACAAGGCAGAGGGCATGGACATAAATGTAGTTAATTATGGTATGCTCAATGTTAGTAGGCCTAATTAAGTAATGATTACAGGGGAATAAAGTAGGGTCAAGTCTGCCTATTCTCTGCTTTGATAAGGTATTCTGATTTTTCTACACCCCATTCTATCAACCAGCCAGTGATGCATTTTTTGAAAATAGTAATTGATGGAGAATGAAACAATTGATAAGAATTACAATGGGTGATAATATTACTATATAAAACTTCTGAAATGTAAGAGGAATCGGTTATTGAGTACGACTTTGATAAATGGGAGGTAGTTATTCCAACATTCTGTGCATATCAGGTATAAGATTATAAGAATGTGATGTTTAAGTGTGATGATTAAAAATAGAATCTAAGTTCTTGAAAACATGAATTAAAAGCAATTTGATGAATAACTGTCTTACACTGAGTAAGGATAATTCATGAAAAATCTGTTTGTGGGGTATCGAATTGGCTTATTGAAACAAACTTTGACCAACAACTTCTGAAGGGCAAAGAGAGGTTCTAAAACAGTGGAAAAAGCTCCGGCCCATACGATAATGCCAAATGAAAGTAATGACTGGACATATGCGTAATATGCTAGCTTGATTTCCTGAGTTGTTAATATATCACAATTGTATGTAACGTAAAAAAATATAACTATGTACATGGTATAAAAATATATGACAGGCCTTTGAAAACACCTATTAAAAAAGACATTAATATCAACATTTAGATTTTTACATCAACAAAATACAATATTGCGCTATCAAGACATGTTCAACCCTGGTTCAGTTGAGGCTGTTTGGAATTAACGAAAATTAACATTGCTCTTATAGTGGGCAAAACCAAGATGACTGTTAGTGTTAACTTTCATGGACTCCCTTGGAGAACAATTCAAAACTGCAAAGAACATTTCTAATCTCACAGTTTACTAGATATTTAAATTACAGTAGAACCCCGAACCCTGGTTAACCGAATTCAGGTTAACCGAAACGGTTCCATAAAGTAATACATGGGTAAATTTTAAGTATTTTAACATTTCTGTAGCGGAAATAAAACACTGTATTATATAGACATTGTTTAAAATTTTTCCTACACACTGTGGTAGTAAATAGACTATTTTTAGCACATGACTGGTTAACCGAAAAATTGGTTATTTGAAACGGCTCTCCCCCTTTATTTCGGTTAACCGGGGTTCTACTGTATAATCATTTTGGTGTTTGAAAAAATATATTTGGACTATAAATAACTCAGCAGCTGTTTGAAACCATCCAAGATGGCCGCTAGCCTCCAAGGGTTCTTAACAAAACTGTTGTGTATCACTGTTCAGCAATAAATCATGTAAAGAACAAAACAAAGTCTAGTGCCAGTACTGCTATAGACAGGCAACCGGTAAATTATGCTGTTTAAGAATAGAGCCTACTGCATATCAATGGACCAAAATAGTTCAAGATACAATGCATTATTACAACTTTTTAAATGTTTATGTTATTTTTCTTGGATGATGAGGTTATGTAAGGTAATTTCAAAGATATTTAAGTGACCACGGTTGATTCGCCCCTATTAATCGAGCTTCTACTGTATACAAGTTAACTATATTTCCTGTTGGTAAGTTATTGACGAATTTGAACATGTTGCCAGGTCGTGGAGTGTGCAGGGCCTGGAGGCTCTGTAGAGTTGGCACAGAACTTCCATGACAGAGAACTGGTTGCTATCACAGCTTACTTCGGCGAACTCGTCAACGTCAATGAATAAACACATTCCACTTCGCTACCAGTACGCTCAACAAGCTTCCCTGTTAGTTTAAGTTTTGTTTTGTATGTTTTTACATTTTTTGACGTTAGAGTTTTAAATGTCAGTTGTATTCTCGTACCTTACCAAAGATAGGTATTGTACTTAGATTTTATTTCATAGAAACTTCTCAAGACTATTCTGTGATTAATAATAGTCTCATTCAGAGTCGTGATTCGAGTAGGTCTCAAGTTACTTTTGAGCCAATGTTCAATATTATGTAAGGTTTTGTGTTGTCAATTTATGTATTTTTTATATAATTGCAATTCGTTACATAATGTATATGTACAATATGTGTTAGATTTGTTGTTTGTTTTTCATATTTAGTGCAATACGTTCTCTTAAATCCTGATTGCTAAATAGATCTTGCAACTTTGAAATCTATTTTAGTTTTTCAAAACTCAACAATTTTATTTATTTTTATTCGCACTATACAAAAAAGTGATCATATACTTCCCCTCACTTCCACTCCATTTTTTACATCCCTGATCCTCTGTGCACAACAGTTAATTAAGGAGAGATTTTGCATCCAGTTTATTAGTTTTCTTTCTGTGCTATTATATTGTTTTCAACTATAGATGTAGTGATTAGAAAAATGTCTGCCTTTTCAAAGTCAATTAGTAGAACGGTCACTAGTAGAACAGTCTTAAAACGTGGTCACAAATATTAAGGTCACACCTAATCAACCACACAGTAAACGTAAAAGTACCTTTCCATTGAAATCTCCTGAATTTATTATCTATTATCGTAATTATTTAGCAATTTCAACATTTATTTGTTTTTGTATTACTATGCATTTGCTAGAATCAGCTGTGTGAAAAAAACTTTTGAAATGAAGTTTCAATCCCAATATAAGACAAACAATTTTATTAAGATTTTTGTCATCATAAACTATGGCGAAACTCTTAGGCAACAGTCACTTGTCCCATTGTTAAATTGTTATTGTGAACACAAAAAAATATAAACTTCTATTAAATTTTAAGTTTATGACCTAGTGAAAGCAATAATTTAGCTTACACTGCACTAACTCCAGGGTTAGTACCACCATGATAAAACATACTCCCTTAGTAGATTTGTCATCCTAGATCAGCTAAAGACAATTTTATTTTTAGTTCAGTCCGGGGCCGCTAGGATCGTGTTTTTGTTTACAATTTGTTTCTTGTTATTTAAAATCTTTTTTAACCAAATAAAACAAGCTGATTATAAATAATGACTCGTCCCCTAGTTATAAAACCAAAAAGTAAAGCACAAATCATTAAATTAACCCTAAAACAATAGAAACAAGATTTTGTCAATGTCACTAAACAGAACTAAACACAAAAAACAAGCTTTAAATTTTACAATGGGATGAGAAGTCTACTTGTGTTGGTTAGGCTAAGGTACCGCGTAAGGCAATTGAACAATTATATAACTGTTTTTTTTAAATCAAGTAAAGTTTGAATTTATTGTACGGATTTGTCCTGTCACCATGTGCTAAAAACTAAGTTTTTTTTTTAGAGATAATCTTCAAATTTTTGTGTGCTGTTTGTAAATATATCAATGCTGTACAGTAAGTATATGTTTTTATTCCTTTCCTGCTCAAAATGTTAATTGTGTAATTGTCAGAATCAAGATTTTCTTTTCTTTTTTTTTGTTTTGATTTTGTATTTTATTATTATTTTATATACAAAGATTAGAACCTGACTCCTTAATAGAAATTTGCTTTTTACACCTAGTAGAGAAAATAATGGTTCCTGATTTGTCTGTTTATATTAGTCTGTATGGAAGGTAGAAATAAAGACTACTTAAGTGCTCTGATTTTTATAATTTTCACTAGGTACATATATAAATTATTTACAAACATTCAAGGATGTTTTATCTCAAGCATCAGATTTATTGGCCGCCAACAAAAACCAAACCTTCACTTTCAGTTCGGCTAATGTCCGTATGAAATAATCACTTCATGATTTAATTCAATTTTATGAAGTTAACATCTTAACCCATTGGGGAAAGAATTATTGCGCTGCCTGCGGTGCCCTCTGTCGTTAATTAATTTTGCCAAATTTGTATAATTTTACTCTAATTGTTATAGAAAGAAAACCTTAGGTGATAAATTAATAATTCTTTCTCTATTTTGTTCACGGTAAAATTGTCTGCGAAAGAAGTGGTAATTAGAAGTGGTTGGAAAATTAAAAAAATTAAAAACTTTAAAAACAATTTTTTTAAGTAAACTTTGTTTACAAAATCCAAGATTAATCCAGACACCAAATGACACTACTGTTATTAAGGTCAATATTGATTCCCTATGGAGAAAAATCACAAGTTGTTTACTTTTATAAGTAACTAGCAGAGTACCCGTCCTTCGTACGGGGTTGGCATATAAGTTGAAAATGCTTTTTGCAGTTATACTCAAGCTTTGCGTTTGCAGAGGAGGACAAAGTTTGGTAAAATTTGCTTCTTTCTAATTTCTAATGGTTATTACACATCTACCATAGCCATAATGTTCTACTACTTCACCTAAACAATAAAGAAATATAAATTATTACAAATTCATAAAAAATCACAATTTATTCATGACATTAAAACATAAACATAAATGAAAACAATCCTACTTTGACAGTTCTTATTGCATATCACAGTTTTTTTGTTGAATTAGCTGTTTACATAAATGCAAAAAAATATATAGTGCTGCACCCTGTTGGTAAATCTTATAACTTTTGAATTTGAAAGCTTTTGTAGATCATAGAACCAACTTTTTTAGTTGAAACAGCTGACTAAATTATTTAATTCTGTTTAAATATGAATACTCATAAGGTTAACATGGGGAACTAAAGAGCCACTGGGGTGGAGCCCGGAAGGATTTTTGAGATAAGAATATGCCTATATGTTAATCAGGAATGTGAGCTATCATCATGCCAAATTTCAGCCCAATCCGTCCAGTGGTTTATGCGTGTTTGAACTTCAAACAAACACACAAACTTTCACATTTATAATATTAGTAAGATAAGATAAGATATTAACATAGAGAAAAAAATTTGTTTTACTTTACCCACAGCTGATTTTGGGTATATGGTTTCCTCGGCAACATAATCTTGTTTGTTATTCGTACAAATAAATTATTAAATATCCAAAACAAGAAGCGATATATTTATAAACATCATCAACTTAAGAAGAAACATTAAGTGGGATAGTAATAATAATTAAATAGCTAGTGATGCTGCGCAGCGGTGAAACGAGCGGAATTTGTAAGTCAGCCAACGGGCCTGCAGTGGACGTACGAGTAAGGCTTGTAAGTCGGGGTTAACCAATGGGTTAACATATTCACTACTATATGACACAAGGCCCTCGTAGAAAGAAGTATGACGGCTGAACAACTAATTTTAGTGTAAAATTCAGCTGATTGAACATCAAATGTTTAGCTAACCGGGAACTTGTTGATGTCAGGAAAAGTATTGTTTGTGTAGCGAAAGTAATGTTTTATGTCAGGAAAAGTCAGCTGTTCACTTTTTGTTTTTTGTGAATGGAAATTGACAATTTTCGAAGATCTCATCTGTATGGAAATGGGCTATTTAAAAATACAGAGTGATGGAAAATAATTTTTCATATTGAATATTGTAATAGGCTAGCAGAATAAATACTCCTTTTGGTTTGGCAAAACAACTTTAATTCTTGTAACTTTATACATATATATACAAAAAAAATATCAAACTCACTAAATCCTAAATTGTTGTAGCCTTGACTGGACTATCTGAAACAAAAGCATAAACACACCTGCTACTTAACACTGTCCTGCTTGACTCGGATTGAGTCTCCTTTAGGTTTCAACTTCCGGTCCAATATAGATTGAACTTCATCTTCATGTTCTTTCTCTTTCATCTTCTCTAACTGAATAGCCAGGTCGATTTCTTGGTTGTATTGGATGATTGTTGCCTGTAAAATGTTTGAAAAATTTAGATAATTTAGTACCACTACAGTACACTCCCGATTAACACTTTTCCCGAGGATGTTGGGACACAGGCTATCTCGATTACCTTGGATCTTGGATAACACGGAGGTTATACCGATTTGGAGGTTATGGGTTACGGTACCACATTAGGAAGCCAAATACATTAAGCTAAACCAACACATTACAGTATTTGACACAAAACGAGGTGGATCTTTCTAGTTTAAGGGCCGGTACACACACACCGACTTGGACGCATGTGAGTACGACTGTTTGTGTCGTGCTGGCATACGACAAAGTCGTGTTACCTCACGACAGTTGTCGTATCGGTATACGACTCAGCAAACACAACAGCGAACTCTAGGCTTTAGGACTACTCATTTGTGAGGATGTCGGCGGAGGAAGAGGTTCTCCTTCTCCTTCTCTTATTAAGGAGAAAACGTCGACGTAAAAGAAGAAGTATCCAAACAGATCCTTTTTTTACTTGAGAGATGGACGAAAGGACTGTTTGGTGTATCGTTTGACGAATTGATAAGTGATGAGAAAAAGTTTTTGGATATTTCAGAATGTCGCCAATGTCATTTGACATCCTGTTGGATACTATTAGGGACAAAATAAGAAAACAATTAAACACGCAACTGAGATTGGCTATACCTCCTGAGGAGGTATAGGTGATTTGCGGCTTGTTCTTCTACGACACTATCCATCACACCGACCTTCCTCTGCCAGATTGCAATGCAGGGTCTGAGTTTCCCAGCGTGGCGCCCCGCAGTCGTGTCCCGAGACGCACTAGTGTGTATACACCGACGCGACAGCCGTATAAAGCCATGTCCCGCTACGACTCAAAACAGTTGTGAGCCCATACGACACGTCTTGCATGTCGGACCCCCAGTCGGTGTAGGGCGCGACTTGAAATTTGTCGTCCATGACTATGACACCTCCACGACTGCTGTCGCACTAGTGTGTACACCCCCATGCGACTTCCATTGCCTACTTTGTTTCTCTACTTGTCGTGCAGATATACGATTTCTTGAGTCGTAGAGGGGCACGACAAAAGTCGGTGTGTGTGTACCGGCCCTAAAAAGCGTAAAATTACATTTTGTTATAGTTTGACCACAGCTTTCACTTTACACAATCATGTCTACAAAACATCGTAATGACACTGCCTGTTTATTTTCTGTAGATAGCTTGTAGGAGTTTTTTACGGCGTTGGAATTAGCCCTTCTGGGCACATTTGGTAGAGCTTGGATGCATTCATCAATGATCATGGGTACCGACAAGATCGGGCGTGTCATTAAAAATAGTCAAATAGCTATCACAGGGTGTCTACCAGGTGATTAAACTTAATTTCAGTGACTTTAGTGGGGGACGACAAGGTAACTTAATCAGCCATACAATATTTTGTACTGTAAAGATTTTGAGCTGGTTGTTCAATATGATAATAATATTCATATAATTTATTAAAAATTATTTATGCCATAAGTAAGTTTATAGGTGTTGATTAATCAATTATTTAAAATGGGACGCCACTATGTGTGTTTTGAGCAGGCTGCTCCCAAAATATGTTTGCTCTCTGATTCTGCACTACAAATTTAATCATTGTCTGCAGCAAGATGCAACACAAAATAGAAGGTTTGGGAAACTTTAATTTAGTTAAGACCAATTTCCATGACTTGGGATCTTTAAATGAAAATCCGTTACGTTTCAGTGAGTACCGTGACCCCCCAGTAAAAATCAGTGACTTCCGTGATCAGTAGAGACCCTGTATCAACAGCAATTATTCTAATTCATCACTATTTCCACTATCCTCGTTAAAACTTATGTTTATTGATGACACTCGGTAATCCTGTATTGCCGAAGTCGTAAAGGTGGATAAGCAAAATGTCAACTTAAAGAGTATACAGCTTCAGTTGAATCTTGATAATTCAACACAAAGCCCTCTTTCACCATAGTCCTGCACCACGCTGGTGTTAAAGAGGGCTAACTTGATGGTTTGACACTTGGTAAATTTTGGCATTTCATGCATGTTATAACAGGAGTGGTCGTATCTTTCCAGTTTAGGTGTTTGATTGGCCCTTACAGTTAGTAGTAGTGATTTTTAGGTAGAATATGTACATCATTGTGTTTTGTTCGCTGGTTTAGTAACTGACCCAAAATATTTGGCTTATGAGATACAGTTTTTTTCTTTTTTGTCCTAGGAAGCTAGCCATGAGCCTGGAATTGTTTTTCACATTACTTCAGGCTAGACCTAGGGGTTGCGGCATTATCACTTAGATAAAATCCATTAGTGACTTGGCGGGGATCGAACCCGGGACCTCAGAGACTGAAGTCCCACGCTCTAACCACTACGCCAGCTCGTTCCCCTGTTTATGAGATACAGCAGGGCTACATAAAATTTAACAAGCCTAATAAAATAATAAAAATAATATTTTATTCAATAAAGTAATGATTAGACTGATTCATTTTAACGCTCAACAGTCAATAAGTACATCATAAGTTTAGTTTTCCTATCTTATATTAAATTTAATTGGAAATATACTTGTGACAAGCAAGGAAGAGCTCGAGCGGCGAGCACTGTGCGTAAATTCCTATTGTACAGGACACAGGGTCTTTCTCCAG